TTTCTTCTAACTAGCTATTTTTGGATCTCTGTACAACTTGCCTCATGTTTTGGGGTTTGGTGGGTTTGGTTTTTTTGGAGGAGGGGTGTCTTTTTAATGTCACAGCCCTAATATTCTACAATGTTTTAATCAAGGACACAAATTTGCTTGCTGTCAATTAAGGCTAAACATATATAAAATTAACAGCAAAGCCTTTCACAAGAACACTTTTATACTGTGACTGGTAACTGTGCATCAATGTAGCAAAAGCCTTAGAACACATATTCCTCTATTAGGGGCTTTCCCCCCCCAGGAATTTTGAGGCATTGCATTAATATAAATGATTTTAATGTCTTAAATGCCACAAAGAAAAGCTTCCAATATTTAAGCTCAGATGAATAGAGTAAAAGAAATCTTTGACTAACACAGTGGCTTATAGCTCACACTCAAGATATTTTTTTCTTACATAACAACAATAGAGCAAAAATTAAGGTGAAAATACATGGCAGTTGATGAAAAACATCTTTCAAACAAAATTGCAGCATATTGCACGATTCAAAATTCCCGTAACAAAGCAACTGCTTTTCATCATAATACACTGGGGTATAGGCAATAACAGTCATTTAATATTCCAAAACAATCCTATCATTCTACAAAGGGATAGTTTTCTTAATAACATTACATCCAGAAAGCAAGAAAAGATATGTTAACTGAGAGAAGAAAGCAACAGTGTGGTCTGACAATAAATTTTGGGCTCCTCATGCAGGATTAGCTCCCAAACAATAATCACTGCCCCAAAGAATCCAATCCAGTGCTTGGGACTAACTGCAGGCTGCTGCAGCCCCTGGTCCCCAGGATCTGTGGTCACCCTGTGGCTGCTGGATGCAGCACCAAGCAAACACCAGCTCTAATGCTCAGCTCAGCCTGGCAGCTCTTTGCTGAGCAGCTGATCAGGATTGCTCAGAACGAAGAACAGTGTGGGAGTCCAGGGCTTCCCTCTGGCTGCCCTGGCAGGTCTGGGACCCTGGCAGGGGTCAGGAACCCCCCTGGACAGAGCCCCCAGAGACACTGGCTGTGATCTCTGTCCATGGAAAAGAGTTTTCAATCTTACAGGATTAATTACAAGCTCTGAGTGTTTCATATGAGTAATAATTAAGTGTGGCACAGGTGCAAAAGTAAAATTTTAGGATTCTAGATTAGGGGTCCAAAGGGTACAAGATGGAGGAAATTGGGTGTGCCTTGTCCTTTTTCTCCTTCTTCATGCCCTCCATGTTTCACTGTGGTGTTGGCATTTTTCTGTTGGTTCAGGCTGGGGACACACTGTCCAACGTAAGTGACAGATATTGGCACATTATTGTAAATCCAGCCCAGGGAGTTTCTGGTATTTAATGTTTGTAACATCCCACTGAGGGCAGAGCCCCACACGCTGCCCTGCAGGACAGAGCTGGGCAGGGCAGCAGAACATGTGAGAGATAAACAGAATAAACAACCTGGAAACCAGCACAGACCAATTATGGCTTCTGCTTTGGCAGTGGGGCTGACAGAGACTTTCTACAGTCTCGGGATCACCAATAGCACAGATTCCAACAGATAAGCAAGACAGGATCCCCATCTCCACAATACTCCACAGGATGGATCTGCCTGAAGCCAGAGAATAAAAAGACTGAAATCTCCAGGGCTGCAGCATCTCACAAGCCAGAAGCACTGAACTGTGTTTGTTAGACAAGATGGAGACGTTTCTCTCATCTGGCACACAAGATAGGAGAGAAAGAGCCTTTACTTCAAATTAAGCTTACTGTCAGGGATGTGTGCTCTGCTAAATGCATCAGCAATATGGGTCAATTAAAAGAAATTATTGGTGTTGGTAAAAAAAAAAAAGGCATTCACATCTGCTTTCTTTATAGCAACATCTGTCATTCAGTACTGGAGATATTTATTTTGCCACATGAGCAGTTCTGTTCAAAAATAAACCTGAGTTTTGCCCACCACAGCACACTATAGGTGGTTAGTGGCTGTACATGTTACCAGCCCATCCCTAAATATTGCCACAGCATCTCACAACTATTTCACTTCTGTAATTTCACCTTTCCTGCCTCCATCCTATCCAGAACATGATTATCACACATCAACCTTTTCCACTGACAGCAAATAAATTATTACATGCTAAGAAATTTCACCCCCAAAAAAATATTAATCCAGAAATCACTAATAAAAATAATTATTATATCATTCCAAACACAATCACTTAACCATTTCCTGGAGCTTTATGAAACCTTTATACAACTGAGCTAGTCTGAGCTATACAACTGACTAGTCTACTTGCCACTATTCTCATATGACTTGTACCCTGTGACCATTTAGGCAAATTAAACAAACTGGTTTATTGGTTTTTTCTAAGGAACGATGCAGCTTGTCACACAACAGCAATATTTTGCTTTTCTTTTACCAACACATTAACTATGACAATAACAGCACAGCAAGCTGCTGCTGAAACTCCACTGGGAGCTCTTAACATACCTCAAAAATGCTTTTGTTTCTGTACATGAGACAGAATTGCAGCTATCAAGATGGGAATCAGCAAAGTCTAAACAGAGTAAAGAATATAGTTGGGAAACTTTTATTTTCTAACCTCTATTTCTCCTCTGCCTTTCAATTTATTCCATCATCTTGGAAGAATAAATTTCTCCGTAGCCAAGTTTCTCCACCTGTAAAATGTGATGCTTTCTGATGTGTGAGTCTCTCAAGCTGTGTACAATTCTGAAATTGTGTTGTGCTACGTGCACCTGATTCCAAGTAGGAAACACATTCTTACTCCCTAAATACCACTGAATAATGATGTTTAATACAGGTTTCAGACAAAGTATGAACTAATGTCTGTAAAGGTGAATGCATTTTAAAGATGGGAGCTTTCTCTTTGATCACTTTTTCAAGATGGGTGGTGTAAGAAATAGCTTCTCTCTTTTTACTTTTCCGGTTCTATTTATACAATTTTGTCATTAGTGGATAAGTCTCTGCTTACCCAGCGCATGCATTGTCAGAGCAGAGGTTACTGAGTAACAGGAAATGTGGCCTCAGCATGGCTGTGTCAGGGTTTATCTATCTGCACGGGAGTAGCTCCTTGCTCATTAACTCAGAGTCACTGAAACCTTTGTCAAGAGTGGTTTGAATATTCCTTAAATTGGCACAGTCATTGATTTGCCTCTCTTTTACTAATAAACACCAAGGGCACAGCCAGATATCCCTGTGTACACCCACCCAAGGCAAATTCAAAAAGATATAAACCTCCAGCAGTTCGCTCCTGGCCCTCAGCCAAGAAATAATTTTAGTTTCCCCCAACGCCATCACCAGTAGAGCCCAGGGTTATCAATAATGGACCTACTCAAAGCACTTCAGTGGAAAGTACAGCAACAAAACTGTGTTGTAACTGTTCAGCATTGCCTCGAGTGCACAAGTGATCCATTCTGGAAGCTAAAAAGCTAAGTTGATGACCAAAACCTTCCTGAAATTTTTCTGTAATTTCAAAAACAATCACTTCAGTGTACCTACAGAGTTTAGTGTGCTCTCTGCACAGCCCTCAGTCCTAGAAAGAATAAGGTGACACTTGAAATTTGCATCTTTACTGGAAAACCAACAAAAAAAAAAAAAAAATCACCTGATTTGCATGTAATGACAATAGGGTGGTTTTTTTGGTTTTTTTTACCATTCTTAACTATAAGAATTTAATGTCAACAGAATGAGCCTGGATTAGGGTACAGCTCATAGGGAAATGTTACATACAAAACACCTGCACTACACTGCCACTCTGTCCAAGGCTTTCTGTAACAGTTTGGAGGAACTACTGTAAATAAAAGGGAAACAATAAACAACCTACCCAGTCCAACAAAATGCTACATATGATGATCAAAACCAAAGGCTCTGTGTGAATTACAGTATTCTAAATAAAGTTCATTGGAAATCACATTTCACAGAGCCCCTGAACTACTGAAGAACTCCTCGAGAGGACAGTTACCTGACAAAGAATGAGAACCTTCAACCTGAAAACTGAAATGTTTCTGATCTACTGCTGCAAGCCAAGACCCTCCATCCAGTCTGCCTCTAATCTCAAGGAGGTATTTGGAGCAGTAGTGCTAACCTGCAGATGAAAACATAGATCAAGTGCTAAAATATCTTCTCCAGGTAATCCACAACTCAAATTTTGAAATTTAGACTCATACACATTTGTCTCATTTCACTTTTTTGAAGTGTTTTGGCAGTTTCCATGTGTTTTTCAGTGAACCTTGTTAAAGTGCAACAAGTGGGAAGCCATGAAAACAGAGTGCTGATACACTGGTCACAAACTACCCTCTCAACCCACAAAAACCACTACAGGTTACTGAAAGGTTGCAACAGAAATGCCCTTCCCCATGAGCTGGTATAAGAAAACATGATGCTACTGACACATCCCAGCCAGATGAGCTGCACTAAAAAAAAATCATGAGCCAACTCTTTCTTGCTTATTTATATCTGAGGTTTTAAGAACACTGTTCAACATAGTCACTGACTGATGCTGAGCCAGACTCAAAACATCCTTCATACTCCAAGTCTTGTCTTTTAACACCTCATGGTCTGGAAAAATAATTTATTGCACGTTTACAGTAACATGAGTATTCCAAGAGCCAGAACCCTTGGAAAAATAGAAATACACCTCTTTTTAAGCAAGGCTCTTAATGGCTTGACCTGCTGTGCTTTGTGTGGAGCTTTTGTTGTATTAAGCAAAGGGCGTGGTGTGGTATTTATTCCACAGGCTTTTCCTTTTCTAGACCTCTAGCACTTCACATAGCACACTGGGAAAAAATGCAATTGCAAAGGCTGGCCAGTGAGTGCAGGATTACTTCATGAACGGGAAAAAAAAATCCACTGGATGGCCTCACATACTTAGAAATGGCAGGGACAAACACTACTTTTCTGTTCTAAAATATCTCATTGCAGAGGAGAATCTGAACTTTAAAGTCACATGATGATGAAACCATAGGGTTGCTAAACATGCAACGTGTATGGTTTGAATGACTTCAGCAAAGTTCCTGTTTCCCTTACAGAACTGCTTGATTTTTAAGTCAGCAAGTGTCTGGATTCTTCACCGTGGTGTACAGCAGCTGAAGAAATTATTGTAATACACAAACTCTGCTTCCAACAGAAATAGAAAGGGCTATAAGTTTCAAACAATAATTGTATTTCATCTGCCATTTCTCAGTGAAAGTCGCAGCCTGTTGTTTCTGTGGAACAATTCCTTGAAAAGGTAAGTGCTTTACATTACTTTGAATATGCAATGTTTTATTCAAGAGGCTCAAATAATGAAGCTAAGGTTGTAATTGAAAGTTCTTAGTTTTCCCTTTTATAGCAACATTTGAATTACACCAAGTAAAATACTGTATCTGGGAAAGGTCCTCAGAAATGTATAATGAAGCTGAAATTTGTGATAAAACTGGGCATTAAGTAGAGAAAATGTGAAGACTGTTTTCCAGTAAGTACTTCACTCTTGTCAAACCAACGGGAGGTGGATGATGAAATCCTGTTCAGTGGTTTGGACAAACGACTCCAACCATTGCCTAAAACCAGACTTTTAAAGGATGGACATTGTCAGATAATCTTAACCCACTACAGGCATTGTATAGGACAGGAAACAGTTTGGGGATTGTTTAAGTCACTGTTAGTTCCTTTATATTCTAGAAAAGTAAAAACAAAAGCTTTCGCTGTCTCAGGAACTGCTACTTCCCCACAAGTTACGGGTAGGATTTTTTAAGCCTTTACGACTTCAAATACATGCCTAAGAGTAGGAATTGAGATCTTACAAGAAAGATGAATAAAGTATTTCACATTTTAATCTCATATACTGCAAGCTGCCCCCATCTGTGAACTTGGCAGAGGCGGTGTGAGCAGCAAGGACATCTTCTGCCCCCACATCACGTGTTATCCACAGCCACTGCACGGCATCCCTTCCAAGAGCAGGCTTGCACAAGCAATGCTATGTGTGTTGCTTTATGACTGCATGAAAGAATATTTTCCTTCTAAAGGCTGGTGACAGAATGCAGAAAGACTGCCCTACCAAACTTTTTATAGAGGAAGAGTTCTGGCTGCCAGGGAGAAACTCCCCTGGTTTAGGAGCTCTTCCTTCTAGACTTTAAATAAACACAAGTCTCCCTGAAACCTCCCCTTCTGCAAAAGTCAAACATTAAAGTGAGGATGGCGAATCCAAACCCAATGGAATCTTAGGGACTGGCTCCCCTCAACACTGAAAGTCCTTTCACAACTTGCTATTTTTAAACTGCTTTTTGAACACTGAGCTCACTGTGTTGGAAGTGAAGGGGAATGTATACACTGTGCTTCAGAAAGTTAAAATCAAAGGTATTTGCTTTAACTGCTGAATTATAGGGAGGAAACAGAGATAGAGGAAAAAAAATCCAAGAAAAAAGTGAGGCCACATGAAGTTAAGGAGGGATTTGTGACATGACTGATGGCAAATTAAAGTAAGAGGAAACTGAAATAAAGGGACAAAATACTGGAGCATGACAACACAAAGATAAACCAAGCAGCATATTACAATCCCTACTTCCCTCAGTAACTAATCATAAAACAAACAGGAATAGACCTGGTTTCTGCCATAGTTACCGTGACTAAATGGAAATAAAAAAGTCAGTTTATGTCATAGTATGTTGTAAGAGAAAAAAAAAAATTCAGGTCTTGAGGTGTTTGCACTGTAAGCTGACAGATTCCAGTAAAAGAACAGAGGACTTGTCAGCTGCTGTTGTCACCCCCTCCACCCACACCACAGCAGAGCATAAACATTACATGTATTTGGAAAAAATAAAAGAATGTCCCTGCAGTCAATCCAACAACCAGACAAAAACTGAGGGAATATGAGATCTTCTCACAGCAGAGGAAAATGACATAATAAATTCACCATTTTTCTTTATGATGGAAACTCTAAGTAATTTGAAAAAAAAAAAAAATGTGGTCAGCTGTATGAATATTCTGAAATAAAACATCATGTGAGAAGCCATTCTCTGCTGCTCTCATGGAACATAAGTTTTTATTTTAAATTAAATTACATTAGTACTACCAGTGGTCTGAAAATCTTTACAAACATTAATACTACTATAGCAGAAGTAGTGAGCTCCTTCATCCCATTGTTATTCTAAGCATGAACTTGATGCTTTGGGTATATTTTGAAAGTGGAAAGATAATTTCTAAGAGCTGCTTTACATGATAGATGAGCAACTTACAGTCACAGGAATCTCTAAAGCTAATCATAGTGATGTAAAAAAACAAAAAAAAAAAAAAAAAAAATTGAGAGAGGCCATCTGGGACTATTCCCAATGCATCAGCTGCAGGAATTGCAATGGGGCCAGGCTGTTCTGGTGGAGCCCAATTCATAACACCAGCTTGAAAACCCTAATGCAGCCACTTCATAAAGAGGTGAACAATGCATCTTGAAAAGTCCTGTGTATCCTCAAATTTCACTGAAACCATTATGAAGAGCCAAAATATTAAAAAGAAAAAAAAAATCAGACTGTCAGGAAGTCAGAAATGTATATTTCTCTCTTTTAGAGAGAATGCAGGTGTGTTGCAGCTTGAAGGAAGAACTGGACATGTCTGCTTGTACACGAGCCACAGTCTGAGCTCCAAAATGCCATTTGCTCTTTTTAATATGAGACACCAGAACCAAATACGAAAAGAGCCCCTGTATTATCATTACTTTAAGCTTCTAGGAATAATTTAAGGGGGAAAGCTAATAACTACAGCATTGACTTTAATCTTATTTGCCAAACTAAAAATATTTCATAATTGGCTACAAACTGCTAGGAGATATTTCTTCTTCTGTAATAAACACTTTATTGAATTCAAACAAGAATTATACTCACACTAACTAGCCACAGCAAAGCTGCAAACAGCTTATTCTTTTGATAAAATTTTGTTTGTGTGGGAATCCTAAAGTAATTCCTTTTAAAAAGCACACCTAGAATTTTTTCCTTAGCTCAAAATTCTAATACTTACACTGATTATAATTATAAAAATATAGTTGCACTGTTATTTCCCAAAGTGAGCATGTTAGTTCTACGCTGAAGGGTTCCTTTTGTTCAGTTTAAATCCTTCATCAGATGAGGTAATTTAAAAGACATATATTCAAGTGAGGATAATAATATTTAGATGGAAAGGAAGCATAAATGTTAGTTATTTAATGTTTATGTCTGTGGTTGCACTGAAACTGTTTCAGGCATCTGCTTTGACACCAAATGAGAGAAAAACACATCCTTAGCCTCTGTTTAACACTGTGCTGGGCTGTCAATAACACACTACAGTGTGCATGCAGGTGGGTACAGGAAGAGAAACCAAAATGCTGCACTTGCTTGCACAGTAAGCTGCAGTTACTGAAATACGCTGCATTAAGCCTTACTTTGTTTTAAATGCCCAAAGAGTATTTAATTAAAATTAAAAATACATTGCCGTGGTCATAATTGAGCTCAGTATCAGTACCAAGGCCAGGTCCTGAGCATTTATTCAAGTTTTGGCATCTTTTTTTCCTGTAATTTGATATAAGGCCATATGATTTCCTGTAAAACCCCAAACTACATCCTTTGTTTCCTTTGCAGTGACGTTACCAGAAAAGTTGAATGCTGCTAAATTATTCTGGGGTTCTCAGCAGGGACAGTGAGCACAGTTAGTTGGCCCATAGAAGCTGTTGAGAAGGTAATGGAGATGTAAACAGTACCAGATCTGAATTTTTCCATTCAGCCCTGCAAAAGGCTGGATGGAATTTGCAGGTAACACTGGAGGCTCTGGTGGAACAGCTCTAAATGTAAATATTTCCTAACATTGAATCTACAGTGTGGGATGACAACAGACTTTCTCAGATGCTCAAGTGGTCACAATCCTTCACCAGATTAAGCTTCAAATCTCCCTCCTACCAAAAGATCAAAATTTGACTTACAGTTTCCTTTGTTCTTGAGACTCCTCCCAAGTATTTAAGAGGAAATGCATTGAAGCTAAAGTTTCACACACAAGAATTGCTCATATCTAATAAACTATTTTTAAGCTTCAAAACTATATTGACTCTTAACTTGCTTCACAGACTTCTGCCTGTTTTTGTCCATCAGTTCTTTCCTACATGGTGCACCCCAGCTCAAAGGCTGGAACCGAGTCTGACCAGCCAACCTTCCCCTCCTGCAAGACCACCTGTAACAAAAAACATCTTCCCTGGGTGCATCAGTCCTTCCTGTAGTGGAATCTCCCAGAAAACAACATTTTCTACAAAGCAAGAAACTCTGACTTTAAAAAGGGACAAAGAACACTGCTGAATCAAAACATAACTCCACGCTTTTCTATAAATGAAATTATAATTATGTAAGATTACATACACATTTAATCAAAGCCACTTTGATAAGTCAACTTTTCTAATTAAAACCAGTATTAGAATTCCAATTTTGAGGAGAGATTAGAAGCATCACAAATGTGAAGTAGTGTCAGAGGTAACAACCATAAATTAACTGTCAAACAGTATTAAGACACTGATTTATCTATAATGAGCACTGCTTAAAAACCTTAATGCATCTCTATGAATTTTTACCAATTTAACATTACTTTCATTTTAAGAGTTAACATCACTAAATCCCCTTATAGAAAAGGCATTATGTACAACTAAGTATGCAGTTTCTTGCCACTGTGACTATAGAAACTTCTGCAGGGAGAACTCCATGGTCCTGTCTTTGCCTGCTTGTTCAGAACAGCTTCAGGTAAAACAGAACAGTAAAAACACCAAAGTCTAACACAAAATTGGAATCTTTGTGAATAAAAAAGATTTTTTTTTCCAGAAAACACTCTACACAATAAAAATGCCTTTAACTTTTTGCAGTGCTGAGGAACATCTTTAATCAGACATTCCAAATTAATTAGGAATGGGTTAGTTATCTCATGTTTAAATATATTTACTCTTTGCAACTAAAAAAGGTATGCTATTTTCTGTATCAATAAGTACAGAAATTTCATCTTAGAAGTTGAGCTAATTATGATTTTAGGTGGTCTGGAAAATGCATACATCCCTATGCATTACAGTTTTTCACGAGTACATATTATGTTCTCATAAAAGCCTTTTGGCTTAAAAGAAAAGGAGCCTCCTTTACTGTACTGTTATACAGTAACAAAATCATTGATCAACATATCACAGAGTCATTAGAGCTAACAGCCTAACCACATTACTCTCAAAATTCCCTATTTCCAGGAATTTATAATGCAGCTGTAATAAATGTTCCTTGCTAAAACTTTATCAACAGGTTTATAATGCACCAAGTAATCATTTTCTCAAAGTTGAGCATGCAGAAATGCATTATTTTTTGCTGTTTTATGCAACAGCTACATCTGAGAAATCACAGCATTATTAATGTATAAAGATGTTTTGGTATAAAAGCAGTTTGTTCATAACAGTTCTTAAACACTCTCATTAATTTTATACAGGCTCCTCAGTACAGACTGCAGCTATGAAAGGCTTTTTTTCAGAACAGAAATGAAGCAAAACTAAAACAAAGAAAGGAATGCGGCTCATGCCTCATATTGTGATTATCTTTGCATTTTCCTCAGTATGTGGTGTGAGACTGCAGCTGGGCTCAAATGATACAAAATTCCCACCCCTGTGACAGGACAGTGGAGCTTTTTGTGGCTGGAGCTGCTGCCCACACGCTGGATTGCCCTGCAAACCGCCTTGGCCTTTTTTGGCAAGATAGGCAGGAAAAGCAGCTCCACCTAAACAGAGCCAGCTCCTTCCTCACCCACTGAGCAGCCAATATTCCATATATTCCACAGGCAACATGAGTGTGCTGGATCCTGGCTGTCCACATAGCTGAGCTGCATCAAGTGAGGAAAAGGGAGGAGTGGTAAGAGCAGAAACCACATCAAAAATAAAAAGGCAGATTTCTCTGGCTAAAAATAATTTCAAGCTAAATTGGGTAATAACACAGGGGTGTAAAATCCACCAAGAAATTACTGCATTTATTCTGAACAAACTGTTTGCATGCCTGGCTGCACATAATATATTCAATGCAAAAACAGGCATTAAAACTGTACTTTAAAACTTGTTTCACCTTACTTTTCCAGCTCCATTTCAAACACTGTTGAACAGGAAATAAGCACAGTGTGGAAAGAAGGATGACTTCTCACAATATGACGTGGATCATCTACCCAAGCAAGAGCCAACTTTTCACCTCCCCAGAAGAAATCGAAGCCATCATAGCTTCTCAAAACATCATATCCAGATTTATGCACTGTTACATTGCCTTTTTTGTACCTGCAGGATTAATAGCTGGCATATGTATTTTGATCATTTTCATAAAGAATCATTTGCAGAACAAAAGAGCAAGCTTGGACTTACTTCTTTTACACTTCACCATCAGCAATATCATAATGATTTTTTTATCCTTTACTGTCATCGCTAGACCTGACTATTTAACAGCAACCTATCTTGCCTGTAGCGTACTGTCATTTTTTTTCAACTTTGTTTATTTCAATTCTCAGTACGTTCTCATTTTGATACTTCTCACACTATTATTGGAGAGATTTCCACCACGGACTGCTCTCTGCAGAGCCACCCAAAGACCCATTTTGTGTGTTGGGTTTGTACTCACGTACACCTTCTGTTTGTCCCTGACGGAGGCAGTGCTGATTGGCACTGATAATTATCACCTGCAAGCACACTGCCAGCTGGACCCATTATTTGCATGGCCTGAGTATGAGATTGTTAAATTCACCTTTGGGTTTGGAATCCCATCCTTACTCCAGATCCCCTGTTTTACTGTTCTGTGGGCTAAAGAAGCACGTGCTGGAGCTCCAGCCTTGTGGCAGCACGTCCGCGCTTACCCCGCCGTGTACGCGACGGGCGCGACGATGTTCATCTGCCGCCTGTTCTACAACGTCATGATTCTCTTCAGGACAGCACTGAAGCTACAGAGGAGCATCGGAACGACAAAGAACGAGCTTGTGATGAACATTGCAGAAATAGTGATGTTCTGTGAGAGCTGTGCTAGTTTGGTAGTTATACTTTGTTTTTATAAACCGTTCAGGGATGAAGTACTTGAAGTCGTACAGAAGTGCCGAAGGAAAACCCGTACCAACAACCACCTTGAAATACCAGAAACAGCCATGACACGTCAAAGTGGGTCTCAGTAATACTTTCTCTTCTTAACTGTCAATCCACTGCACTTTTTAGCTTGTGGGTTTTGGTTTGGTTTTTTACTTCTTCAAAAAAAGGGCAATTGTTCCTTCTTTAGAACCCAAACTTGGCTTATCTTACAGCTAGCAGTACTAGAAGAATAAAGATGACCAGTTCTAATTCTTACAGTGAAATCTGTAAAAAAACTTCCAGGGTCTGGGGCTGTTTGGGTTTTTTTTCATATATACATAGATATTTAAATAATCTATTTTTCTGCAAGCATTGCTTCAAAGTCAAGTAGAAAGATGAGTACTGTTACCATAGCACCGTGCTTCTGCAATAGTATCAATGCCCTGGCAGAGCTGCAAACAAAATTATGGCAGAAAACAACTTTGAACAAAGGTCAAAATCTATAGTCAGAGTATTTTCTCAGGTGTGCTTCCTCCTTTGACTTCTTACCCTTCAAGCTACATATTTCTATAACAATGGCATATAACTGCTATGTATAATTCCAGTGGCAGCAGCAGTGAAGTTTCTGTTTGAACTCCTGTGCCAAAAAAAAGAAAGAAATCAAATTAATGGAAATGCGGGTCCATAAAAGAAAGCTTTGGGTCCTTTGTGAGGCACTGAACTGGAAAGATCAATAGGATGGCTAATTAAAACTTTGTGCAAGAATGAAAGCTTTTTATTAAGGTACCCTCAGCTTCCACTTTGCATTTAGACTTACAGCAATGACTGATTTAAGCCATTCCTGATGAGTTCATTCAGAAGTATGAACTCATTGGAAGAGCCATAGTAAGTTAGTAATACACTAACTGAAAAACAGAGAAAAGTCAGCCCAGAACAACAGAACTGAGGTGTATTTTTAAGAAGGCAAACAAAACCCAAGCCCCAGTTCCTAACTGGAATCAAGGCTCTGCTAGAGACAAGCACTGTACATTGAGATGAGAGTTAATGGGCAAATAGTGCAAAAAGAGGAAAAAATCTGAATTAGAATAAAACAGCTGTGGTGCAGGAGTTTGGATGAAGCCCTGCAGGATCAGCAGCTGATGCAGGCTGAGATGTAGGTGCAAAGCTGTAAATGCTTGCTTTGAGCACATTATTACTGCCAACAAATCTGGCCAGGAGCCACCTTAGGCATTTGGCTTTGGCTTCAACTTCTCCTCTTAAAAAGGTGGAGAGAACAGAACTAGAAAAAGCACAGAATTGTGCTAAAACTTGGATACTGACGTAGACTCAGATGGCAAAGTTACAAAAACACAGCGCTGTGCTTGAAGAGTTCTGAGAAAAGCTATTTTGATACTTAAATCTGTGCCTTTGTATGAAACCCAGGTGCTAAGGGAAGTGAGAGGGGCTTTTTGCAGTTATATCCTTTGAAAGATCTTCCTGATGGGGTCTTCCAGATTGGTGTGGGGAGCTGGTGTAAATCAGCATGGGCTGCCTAAAAGGGAACAGCAGGAACTGATTGACCAAGATGAACATCTTCCACAAGACAACAGCCAAGAAATGGAAGAACAATAATAATGCAGAATATACATCAAGTTTCTAGAGATATGGATCTAGTCTTGGACATCCAAATCCTGACAGGTATGGACCATGACTGTATCACATGCAAATAAAGGGCAATATGTAATCCCACTATGACTATAAGGACCAACATTTCCACAAGATGTAAAAATCAGCTGGTAAGATATCTGCATTACATTGTGTCAGCCTGTTCTCCTGTTCAGTTTTGTTCTGCTGCCAACATGAACAGATGGATAATTAAAAAACTCTACATATAAACAGATCATTATAGAACGTGGTCAGAAAGGAAGTAGGCAGATAAGAATCATCTCTTTGAACACAAGAGCCAATTTCATACTTGTGAAAGGGATTCTCAGATGGCATCAGAGATTTTGTTTTGCACCTGAGAAGAGGGAGATTAAACAACACAGACCAAAGATCAGCCTTGCAGAAAGAAGTCTGAAGAGATGAGTTGTAAGAGCTGTACATCAGTGAAAAAGCTGACAGACTGAGTGAAAGAATATGTCAGAGGATGCAAGCTGTTTATCCCAGCTCAGAAAGTCAGAGTTTCAGCTGCACTGTGGATAAGGAAGATATTTTGTAGAATGGGAATTATGTGTGAATGATTCTACTTCATTTACAGCTTCCATATATTTTATATTGAATGATGAAAGAATAAATATTGTGTTGTTTCTGAGTTACTTTGGAAGGTGCCTAAAAGAAAAATGAGTCAGTAAAAGTTGGCTGGGACCTGGGAAGTGATCTGATGGTGAGTGAATGCCAGTGACACACCTGGGAGGAGCCACAGGGTTGAGCAGGGCACAAAGGTGCTTCATGATACCCCCAGCAGGGTACACAGCTAGAGCAGAGCCATACCCAAGTGTCACAGACAAAAAATCCTGTAGGGACCTACTTGAGATGTAGGATCTGAGAGTGAGCACACCTTGGCAGAATGAACAACTGTGTGTGAGTCTGGGAGCTCCCAAAGCTCCTGGCTGCCATCTGTGAGATGTGAGCACTTGTACTCTGATCTCCTCCCTGTCCACGTGGAAAAAAAACTGAGTATTTTCTGGATGGCTGGTTATATTGCCATGAAGAAATCTCTCTGTACAACAAAAAGACTTTGCAACTGAATATGAGAAAACAAAGGTAAACAGGAGAGAAGAGGTTGAAAAATGCAAAACAGTAACTCATTTAGTTATAAGTATAAATTTTAGCAATACAGAAACGTTTTCATAGAATTATTCTTGATAAAGTAAGAGCTTACATTAAAGTTTAGGGCAAGGAATATGTGGTCCTAGAGAAAATCTATTTGCATCCAGCTAGAATATGAGAGCAAACACCCCTATGTGCAACAGGGAAGGAACACAAGCAGTTTTCCAAAATCCTTCTAATATAGTCTGATATGAGGGAGAAAAGAGCAGCTTTACCTAAGATTAAAAGTAATATTTTTAAAATAATTAATAATCAAAAAAATGTTTTTAAGAACAAAATAAAATCTCCATGCTCTGATATTTTTTCCTCTTATGCAAGCAGCAGCTCTGTTGAACCCTCACTTCTCCCAGGCTTCACCCAGTTGTGAACAGTATGTTCCAGAAGAAATACAGCATATATTTTTATAGGCAGGCTGTCAAAATTAACTGAAGGGATATACTGGAAAGTTCAAAGGAGAATATTTTACTTCTGTCTTGGTAATATTTTTATCTTTCCACAACTTTGGTCTTCATTTTTCAGCCACTTTGTTCAGTAGAAGAAGAGAATGATCACGCTACTGAAATTAAAGCTTGAATTTCTGAGTTGGTAGCATATTTTTGAAAAGAACTCAGGACTAATCATAACTGAACCAGCTGGCTCAAACCTGATCTGATCCCACTGCAAACAACATTTGAGCTAGAGACTGGATGTGCACACGAGCTGCTACATCCCTACACATATTTCTGAGCCTGCCCTTACTTACAGTCTAATATTAAACTCACAGACATCTGAAAGGGCACTAGTATTATTTATTATGATTATGAGGTAGCTGCAGAAGATTTGGGGCAGCGTGAAAACTCAAGCAATCCAGCCAAAGTAAGTACTTTATATAATGTGTCCACCATATATGCTGCAAGGCAAATAAATTCACCAGTGGATAGAATGAAAGAATAAATTTCACTTCCATGATACAAAGTGTCCAGCAAAGGACTGCCAGACTCAGCCACTAAAATAAAAATCATTGATGTTTTGCAAAAATCTTTTTAAATAGCATTTCAATAGAGCCTGAAGTCCTAGGATGAGGCTTTGAGCACTCTGGTTTAGTGGAAGGTGTCATGGCAGAGAACTTGGATTTAGATGTTTTTTAAGATCCCTTCCAACCCAAAGTATTCTAGGATTCTGTGATCTTTCACTAGACAACATTCTGTGGCCTCATTTAGTGGAATTTTTAGATTATCCCTTAAGAGGTTTGCAATATATCCTTTAAGAAAAATAAAAAGGTTTTACCAGAATAGTTTGAATGGGTTTGAATGGGTGTTGTCCCTGCAAAAGGAAAAGGCTGAACTTTTAAAAATTATTTTTAGTAAGAAAAATGCATTCTCAGAATTATTGGCAACTGCAAAGCCTAAATACACAAAATACACTCCATCCAACATTTTCTGAAGGCCCACAAACAATTAATTCCAGCTCAAACTAAGTCTGATTATTTGCAAGAAAGACTATTTGCTACTGAGGCTTGACAAGATAAAGGATGAGGGTGCCCTAGAGCAGGGTAATGGATGCTGATTTCATTCAGTGGTTGAAAAAGGTGAGAGAGAATTTGGACATCAGTCTACCTAGAAATCCTTGTGAACAGTACCACAGCACCCGTATTTCCTCTAGAAATCGTTGCAGTAGAGATTTTTACACAAATCTTATTTCTTCTGCAGATGGTTATATTACAGTGCAAGCATTCCAATACAATTTTAATTTATGCTTCCTTCCCCTTCCATGCTATAGAGTGCTTTACTCTTTTTCAGCTTTCTATACCCTTGCCCTGATCTAATTTCTCCAGGACTCAACAGCTTCATACAAAAATCACTTCCACACTTTTGACAGAATGCAAGAGTCTCCTGCATCTTAGAGAGATGGAGAGGCTGCCAAAGGAGCTGTGATGCACCAGACCCCTCAGTGCTGCTCCCTCCCATACTCACACCTCCCACTTTCTTTCTCCTCAGCTGCCACCTTTCAGCAGCACAATAACAGGTACATATGTTGAAGTCTGTTAAATTACACAGAATATCTCCTATTATACTCCAGATTCAGCCTCTTGGTGCACTGAAGTACATTACAACTGCAGCAGTGCTTCTGAAAGAGTCTCTGGTGTTAGACATGTTTACTGAGATATTTACAGAGCTTTACACATTGCCACATAAAAATAAACCAGGAAAATTCCAAATGCTGGAGTACTGAGGTCTGACATTATACAAATGCCACTGCACCAGTTGCTTTCACAGATTTTGTCAGCAACACTCACAGTAAGGTAAAACAGGTGGAGCTTTAAGACTCAACACTCACAGCTGTGACCATGGATCATAAAGGCAGTCACTGTAAAGTCCTGTGGAATACTGACAGGGAAAGAGCAAGGGTACAACTTTCAGCAGCTGCTAAAATTACTTTGAAGTATTTTATGGAATATGGAAGTGATAAACAGTGAGATTAAGATACAATCATCAGTAACAATAATTTGACTGCATAAACAAGGGCCTGAAAATGCTGTGATCTGTTTTAGGAAACAGGATTCAGAGTACTCACACAATCATCTCATAAAATATTTAGAAAAATACACAATTCATCAATTACAATATAATAATATACAAAATCACTGTAATATTAAATATGACCTCTTAAGTTTCACAGTTCTTCTAGCACAGAAACCAGCTACTTCTTGGGTTGTTTGAAAGAGAATTTCCTTACAACTCTGGAAGTATGGCAAAGTAGCATATTTCTTACCATGAATTTAAACAACAAAAATATCATTCAGAATTATACATTTTTATAGTAAATCAGCTGATATTCACAGCTAGACAAGCAAGGACAGATAGACCAGCTAATTATCAAATCCAGGCCTCCATAAAAACAAACAACTGACACCCAGAAGTGAATGTTATACATGAAGAAAAGCAAAAAATCCTTCAGGCCCTTACAAGATCAGTGGAAGCTCTGAAGGACAGAATTAAGTACAGCAAAACCACATGATCAACAAACAACAATAAAGACTCTTTTTAATCCTGTTCTTTTATGACAACAAAAAATTAAGGCCTTTAAAGCTGGTATCACAAGATTTTTCTAACATTTACAATATACCAGTCCTACAATGCAATCATATTTGTACACATCTCAAAGCAGAACACTTTAGGCTCTGTCCTCATCACCCTGTATTAAAACACTCAATTCCACACACAGTGGAAATCTTCTGTTCTAAGACATCTTACCAGCACCAATCTGCACAAACACTCTTTTGATCTAAATAATGATTCCAAAACTATTCACAAAGAGTCATCATGCAAGAACATCTTTAAAAACTTTTTTAATATCACTGCCAAAATCCTCTATTCCTATGCACAGTGTGCAGAAAAACACAGTGTGTTGCAAAAAAAACAGCAAATAATGTATTTGCCTCAACGAAGGCGAAGGGCTTCTGCTCCCAAAGCCACTCACGTAAAGAACCCCTGCTTCACTTTCCTACAGAGAGGTCCTTTGTAAGCTAAAGATATGTGACCAATGCAATTGGTGTTATACATCCATTATAATGACATGTTAATTGCTTACTCCACACGTCTGAAACTGTCACACTGTCCTCCTGAAGTCCTAAATTCTGAGATCCCATTCAGGTCGTTCCAGCAGCAGCAGAACGCTGCATCCGTGTACAGCAAAGCCACTCACGGCACTCAATTCAGGTTAACATAACCACAGAAAGCAACTGCCACAAATAAAATATTGCTCTTTTATGAGCAAGCTTTGACTTTTCTCCCTTTCTAAGAATTCTGGCCACCAGTAGGTGGTGTTACTGGAAACGTCAAGTAGGGTTTTTTACCCCCTGCAGATGAAATGCAAAACTCCACCTGCAACACTGGTGTTTAATGCAAAACTGAGGCTCCTCATTCTCTGCAGGGTAAGCTTATTTCCTCCATGTGATTTTGAGTTGAGCAATTCTAAGGAGTAAGAGAATGACAACATATACCTGAAAATTTAAAACAGGCAAAATGGGATCGACTTGAAGGTAGGAAAACTGAAATTTCTCTTCTCTGTTTAGCAAATGATTGTTCTAAGATGCTTGATGTGTTCAATGAAATATTTCCCTTTAGATTGCCCAGAGGCTTTTAAAAAATAGCACAAAAAACAGTAATAATCACTTTATATCTATGTAAAATATGCTTTGTTGCAATTTCCAAATAAATCTCTTATTGTTCAGCTGAGCTCTAGATTTGAACGGACTATAAAACTTTAAAAACCACCAGAGGCAGAAACGAAGGTGCAATGAACATTAGGCAAAATAAAAATGACAAATAAGAGAGAAAGCCATTTGAGCAGTTCTAGTAAAAAAGAAACCAGCAGAAACAGGGTTAATTCTAGCCTTATAAGGCTGTTCAGCAGCACTTCAACTGCACACAAATTAGAACAACCCTGGGAATCTATAAAGCTTGTTTTATTGCCAAGGACATGCAGCAAGATCTGCATTTTGCTCTTGTAAACTCTCCTTTATTTAATAAGTTTTAAAGCAGAATGAGACTTTTATATGATTTTTGTTTTTACTGCTGAATCATCAACAGGTGGCACCCACTGCAGCTCTGCACACCTAAAAACAAGTTTTTACCGAGAGGACAGTGGAAGTTGGCACATCCATTACGCCCAGCAAGGAGCAGCCTGCTGCTGTCTGGAATTCAGGTAAAATAAAGTGTTTCAGAGCACATAGCTACCTGTAATGCTTTTAATTGCTTGGCTTTTGGCAGCCTTTCAGATGTAATTAAAATCTGACCACAGATGGACCTTTTAAAATCAATTGCTCAGGCTGTTAACTTATCTTTTATTGTATTTAAATCTGTTTTATTGCCTTGTTCACAAATAAAAGGCTGCTACATAAAGACAACAGTTTATGTCTGACTTCATAGCCGCTTGAAACAAACACCGAACCTTTTAATGAGTGTAATTTCATATGGATATTTTAGCATGGAGATTTAAATTATTAGAAACACAGCAACAGGTACTGGGAACTTATGCCTGTTTCACTGAGAAATCAAAGCTCTGGAACCCATATCTTTATTTAAGTATCTGTAGCTATTTCTGATGACTTGAATACATTTAAGCCATAGTCAGTGCTCTATTTCTGACAAAAACTACTCTAACACTCCTACTCCACTACTGATCTGCTCTTTCCTCCCCCGGACTGCATACTGGCAGGATTTAAGTCATTAAAATGTGGAAATATGCATTAATTTTATTAGTAAGCTATTTTTAATATATATTTTCATATAAATACAAATTAATGGTTTGATAGTTAAGATGCAGATTAAAGCAGTTAAAAATACTTAAAGCGTAGCACAAAATAGCCTGGTTTATAATTTTCTTGCTGTTTTATTTGTTTAGGATGTCTTTTGTTTAGCTCTTTCTTTTTAAAAATAAACGTCTAGCAATGCTTCAAGTGCATAACATTCAACATTTAGAAATAAACAAATCCGATAACTGGTTATTTTCCATTACTACCCGGAAGTCAGTGAAACATAATAAATCACAACAGAAAACAAATTGAGTATAATAATGTTGGTGTAAATCAATATGCTGCTTGTATTACCTTAATTTCTAAAACTTGCCTTTCCCTCCCACTGAAAGCAGCAGGAACCAACTGCTTTTCATCTGAGTTGCTTTCTCAGCCACAGACTCTGTTATTTATTAGCCTCACAAGCTAACAAAATAAATATATATCTACATATATTAAAAAATAGAGTTTTTCTTTATTAGGTTAAAGTCACTCGTTTGATTTCTCTGCATTTTTTTCATTTTTTAATACTGAACCCCTGACAGGCACACAAAATTTTAACAGACCTGCCCTCATAATGTATTTTGATCTAGAACAAATTTAAATTCTTTTAAGTGAACCTTTGCATTTACATTAGAACATGATGTTTCCTACAACCTCGGCTGTGATTTAAGTGAGCAGAAGCTAATGGCACATGGAACAGTGCTGGAATATGAGATTAATCGTTTTCCATTTGCAAATTGCAGGTCCAAGGATGTTCATTGATTATTAAAAGAAAACAAATGGAGCTAAAATTCCACTGCCTTCCAACTTGCATGAAGGAACTCTGCTGCTGAAAAGCTTTTATTAAAGAGACCCAAGTACCACCATGGTAAAGAGATTCCTCCATGATCTTAAGGCATACAGGAACTGCAAATTCTCTTATTTAAAATGTATATAGTATCCTGTAAAAGAAATTAAGACATTCACTATTTGTAGTATTTTATTTCGGTCAGTTTTAAGCCTAATTAATCTGACTTTTAAAGCATTTTAATTTCCTATACAAAAGTCTATATAGTTTTCAATTCCAATCAAAAATGCTTACTAGGAATTCAGTTGAAACGAACCAAAAATCTGATTATTTTGGTATTGCCACCAAACTGTGAGTACTAATATCTTTTCTGCAGACATTTTAACCATGGAAACGTATTCTGCCTCAGTATCACCTGTTCTATGTAACAGCACAACTTTTAACCTGAATGGATCCCATTTGTGTAACGAAAGCATATCCTCTAGATTAGCTGATAAATCAGAACACCAACAATATGTTATTGGCCTTTTCTTATCATGTCTTTACACAATATTCCTCTTTCCTATCGGTTTTGTGGGAAACATTCTGATACTGGTTGTCAACATTAGCTTTCGGGAAAAAATGACAATCCCAGACCTTTACTTCATCAACCTGGCAGTGGCTGATCTCATTCTAGTGGCCGATTCTCTCATTGAGGTGTTTAATCTTGACGAGAAATATTACGATATCACCATCATTTGTACCTTTATGTCTTTGTTCCTTCAGATCAACATGTATAGCAGCATTTTCTTTCTGACATGGATGAGTTTTGACAGATACCTAGCCCTGGCCAAAGTAATGAGGTCCAACCTCTTTCGCACTATGCAGCACGCTAGACTGAGCTGTGGGCTCATATGGATGGCATCCATTTCGGCAGCTCTAGTCCCATTTACAGCCGTGCACTTACAACACACCGGAGAGGTCTATTTTTGTTTTGCAGATGTAAAAGAAATCCAGTGGCTAGAGATAACCCTGGGGTTTATTATCCCCTTTGTGATCATCGGTCTTTGTTACTCATTAATTGTTCGAGTCCTTATAAAAGCACACAAGCACAGGAGTCTCCGGCTGCGGCGACAGAAGGCTCTGCGCATGATTTTTGTCGTTGTCCTGGTTTTCTTTATCTGCTGGCTCCCTGAAAACGTCTTCATTAGCGTCCAACTTCTCCAGAGGAAAAGCGAGCCCGTCTCTTCAAACAGCCCATCCTTCAGGCATGATTACCCTTTAACAGGACATATTGTGAACCTAGCAGCTTTTTCTAATAGCTGCTTGAACCCCTTAATTTACAGCTTTCTGGGGGAAACCTTCAGAGACAAACTGCGACTGTACATTGAACAGAAAACAAAAATGTCAACATTGCATCGCTTCTGTCAGGCTGCCTTAACGTCTGTCATTCCTGACAGTAATGAGCAATCAGAAGTCTGATTCAGTGTCATTGTATAAAACATATGACTGTGAAGTTGTGCAAATAGTGAACAAAATGCTTGCTACTAACAGAAAAAAAGTGCATTTGTGTGTGTGTATATATATATATATATATTGTATCGCTCTATTGAGTATTGAAGGTTTATATTCGAAATGGTTTTATGACAGGACTTTAATGTAGAAGAATATGTTTTAGTCAGATTTATATTTAATTATGAACAAGATTATTAAAAGCTGAGCACTGAAGAAGCTTTATTTTGTATTATACATATATGAATGACAACATAAGAGAAAATTTTATCAACTTAGGAAGACTCTACATGTAATCTGATTATCAGAGATGATACTTTGCTGGTGTATATAAGGTATTTCCACTGAAATAATGAAGCTGCTGTAACAGTGAGGAAAAATCATTACAACATATTGATGTGGAGATGCAGAAAACATTGATTTTTTTTCACCCAAACATGTTAAGATGAATGACTTTGCTTACAAGAACTACATGGTACTATCATCACTGTATTCCAGCATGTCTTCCATGATTAAGTTTTTAATCTTAATATAATCAAGCACAGTGATGAGTTTTTGTCTCCTAAATGTAATCTACTGTTTACATCAGTACTTGATCAAAACCAAAATCATCTGTAACCATAGTACTCATCTCAAAAAACTTCACAGAAGCAAAATGTAGTGCTTCATTCTGTCTTTTAAGAATTGACCCTGATGATCTCTCTCAGAACAAACATAATTGGCCTTTTTGTCAAAAATGCCAGTGCACCAACATCATGTGCATTCAGACCTGCCTTCAGATTTGAGTGCACATTGCACAAAATCTTCAAATTCCAGAACAAAATGCTGTGATTTTTAAGGAAGTGTCACTTTCTGCTAAAGATATTGTAGACATTGCTTAGGAAAGTGACAGAAACTTCCAATTTTAGGAAGGAAGACCATATGTAATGGCGAGTATGATTAATGATTATCAGATCTGAACTTCATGTACACCCATCCCACCTCCAGAAACCCCCAGCCTTTCAAGACTGTAAGATGCGTTTCAGAGGCTTTGATCATTTGAAGATTAATTATACTAAGCAAACAAATGATAGCACCACTTACTGGAAAACAACAGTTTTTCTTTTCTTCTAGCAAATAATTGGGTTGTAAATCTGATTGATGCTTAGCACAGGTTACTCCTGGGCTTGTTCAGAAGAAGCTACAAAGTTCCTAGAGATTAGCGTGCAAGATCATTACAACAACATTGCTGCCTCTCTCAAGTGAACAAACTCATTTCACTTCTGTGCTTATTGACTGAAGCATCAGAACTCAGCAGAATAAGATGTTCTGTCCTATTTTCAAATGTCATATATTAATTAATTAGCACAATAACAGATTTTAAAGGATTTTTAAATGTAGACCTTTAAAACAATGACTAAAGCTACCAAAGCTATAAAGAAAACAGTGAAAATGATGATTCCACTCATACTTCTCATGAAATATCCTGAGTTTCCTAGTGGAAGTTTTGGCCACAAAAGACTTGACCTATAAACAGAAAGGCCACAAGACGATGGTGGCTGAATTTGAAATAGATAACAGGACATTCCTGCAGCTCCAACAGGAACAGCACTGTGGAGTCCAAGGCAACTGCAAAGTATTTGCAATTGCTAATCACAGTCTAAGGAAAAATGTGTTTAGTCCCATCCTCCCTGCAGAACACCAAACAGATCTCCTCTCAAGAAACATGCAAGTATAGCATGAGCTGCTAAAAAACACTCAGCAAATTATCTCCCACCATTGTGCTGCATCACACAGAGCCCTTTTTCCTCAGTATTTTTAGCTACGATTACTCAGGTCCTATGGACTGCCAATAGACATTAATCACACCATTAAAGATGGTTATTTCAGACAACATCCAGCTGAAGGAAGGGATAATTGTTTTGGCAATGCAATTCTGAGAAGACAGACACTTCTTGAGCTTACAGATTTATTAGGTTTGTGCAATCCTGATGCTTGCCATGAATAAAGAACTTATTTGGGGTTACAGGAATACAGTTTCCCAATCGTAGTTGTTGCTTATTCTGTTTTTTTTTTTTAGGAATGAGATCCTTTCCCCTCCTCCCAATACAGGGACCACATTTTTTATCAAGTCTATGGTAGAAGCCTTTCTGCTACCCCTGCAGAACACAAATCAAGAAAATCTTTATGCAGAAGCTTATAATAATAAACAAACAGCAATAGCAAATGCCTGCTTATGCATCCTCCAAAGTAGTTGTTTCTAAGTGATCATATTCAGTACTATACAGTGAAATCTAGAAAAGACCAGATTACTATAGCATTAAGAAAACAATATTTACTCAACCTGAAATAACCTATTGCATGTTTAAAACCAAATTACAAGCCTAAAATACCTGATGAGTTCCCTACTGCTGATATTTTGGGACGGGCTTATGAACTGTGCCTGAAATTACTAAATTTAAACATACTTCTTACTTTAAATGAAAAGCACTCTCCCAGCTGAAAAAACTACACACTTATTCCCAAAGCTTTTTTTTTTTTAAACAGTAACTCTGTAGAAAGTAATATTTACAGAAATGTCATACAACCTCCATATGTTTATGTACACAAGATGCTTTCTGCAAGCCATCATCTCACAATAACTCCCTACTATGGCTTATCCATGGACCAAAAAGATCTCAGCTCAACGTTTTATTTCAAAGAACATAATCACCAGTTAATAAAACCTTTTCTAGAATGCAGAGGAAAAAGGGAATGGGAACAAGAATTTTTATACAACTCCTTCACTTTTTATCTCTGGTCTCTCACAAATTGTTTCATTGCTGAGTTGAAGGAAAAGATTCCATATGCCTTTCTAAAACACTGGACTGATGACAACTATGAGACTTAAAAACCTGTTTATCACAGTTGCTTACAATCTTTGCGGTAATAGTCTATAAAAAATTCCAGAAAGGAAAAGTCTAGTATTAGGAAAAGCTCACAGGAAAGAGGAGAGATGGAAAAATCAAAAAATCCCTGAAACCATTAACTGCTTTTGAAAATAATACTTTAGCAAAAGACTGCCTTGAATGCACAGGGTATAACTGAATATCTAGAAACAAAATAAATGCAAACAGCACAAACTAGCACCAGTCTGGACCTGATGCAACTGAAAGCTTCCCTTAGCTGTGCAAAAAGATATGAGAAAAAGAATTACGTGAGACCTCTTTAACATGTTAAAGAGATGCTGTAACTCTGGATTCTTTTGACAGTTTCAGGAGATACACTAAATACCGAGTGTACAGACACAACATCCACCTCTCAAAATTGCAGTCTGTCAGTCTAAAGATAAAGCTTGCTTCATTTATGAAGAGCATTACAGGATGGGAGGGCATGTGACAGGGAATTTGAATCAATGAGTCAGGCAATCCCAGATTCTGTGCAAAGCTTTGACATAATATGGGCAAGATGCAAAAGTCACCTCTCCCTTCAAAAACTTGAAAAAACATTGAGCACAAAGTTTTACAAGAAAATGCCTGTAAAATTTCAGACTAAGTATCTGTGTTTCAAACAAAATTCACTGCCTGTACAGTGCAGGCTCTAATCTTTTTTCCAGCCTTCAAGTTGTGTTAGAGTATAACTGAATTTTTTCCCGTGTAAGGATTTTGCTGTATTCTCTCAGCTGTTTATTAAGACTGCAAAAGGGAAAAGGTTGTCTGGACAATTTTAAATGGTTAGGATTGTCACATAAAAAATGTGTTAAACTGATGGTTTACCACAAGTAAAAGCATGTCAAGTTCAACCCAGCTTATCATTAATTCCATTGGAACTTGTTTTTGCATAACTAAAAACAAGTGAGTGTATGAAGAAGTAGGTTTGAATTTTAATAGCTACTTATGAAAGTGAACCAATGAATTCATTTGATTTTGATTGAAAACAATGAAGATAAGGGCTTGATTTGAACTTATCATCTAACCTTCCCTTTCACCCTAAGTCTTACCTTACCCATTCATGCCATCAGACAAACACTTAAAGCTTTCATCACAGAAAAGCACAGGGCCAAATTAATTATTTGTTCTTTTTTTATGGTAAAAGTGGAACAACATGTGATGGGGAACAAGCCACTTTTAAGACATGCACACAGAACACCTTTCCCCTATACCCTTAAGCTCTGCTGTCAGGGAGATTGTGGTACATGCCCTGTGCTGTGTTTCAAAGAAAGATACCAGATATGAAAACCTGAACCCCCCTCCACTCATATTTATAATTTAGATGTCCTTTCTTCAACAGTATTGCCCAAACTATTTATTGCACAGTGACTTTTATTACAATAAGCTTTTAACCCTTGGGTTTGGGCTTTCTTTTAGACTTCCATTCCATCACACAGCAGCATGGACACAGGCAGGAGCTAAGAATAAACAGCTGCATATTGATCCATCCAAGGTGCCAGCACAGGAGCAATGCCCTCTCAGGACTGCAGACTTTACAGGATCAGCTCTACTTTCAACTCCTTTTCTTACATGCTACTTCATTTTTTTCACATAAGTCCACTAAATGCCACTACAAAATATAAAGATTATTGTCTGAGTCTCACACACCCACCTGTGTGTTTAGAATGGGGTTTGAAACTGTTCAACCCCCATTTGATAAAAACCATTTTCAAGTTTCCAACCTGTTTTCTCACATTGTTCAAACAGTCTTCTACAAGTATATACAGATATTTCAAAGTTCTAAATTAAAATACTGAGCTGTTCATTACCCAAAAGTAAAACCCTACCTTCTCAAAATAAATATTTAATGCAGCAGGGTAAGCCTTTCCAAAGCTGCAGCTTGGCTTCAAAGTCCCAGTTTACTTGACTTGCAAGCAAAATCACTGAAAAAGTTTAAGAACTTTTCATTCAGTGTGTTTTCTGGAAGGACTTTTAAAAAACTGTGGGAGAAAAAAAAGATACAGTAGAGAAACAGAAAAATTACTAGGATATTGTTAAATTATCCTTGGAATTGGAGTTAAGGCGATTTTTACAGAAAGAGCTCAGTGGCAGAATTGCCTAATAGTGCTGGAGATAGATTTGTTTTCTGCCTCAGCAGCAGAAATATTTCCCTCAATAGAAACAGTAATATAATGGCAAATAAGATTTTCTTCCTTTCATTCTCTCTCCATTCAGAACTACAAAAGAGAAATAGCCTGTACCTGACTACAGAAACCTCTTAACTCTTGTGCTCAAGAGTGAAGTGCACACAGCAAACTGAGAAAGAAACCAAGCAAACAGCTCACTTAAACAACTGATAGTATTCCAAATATCCACCTGAGAACACCTTGAGAATCAAGGTGGGAAGAAGACACAGACAGTGATGTGTGGGGGAACTTCATTTATAAAATTCCTTGGCTTCCAAGGATATTAAGTCAGAATAATTACTTCTGATATTACAAGCTCATTCTCTAGGAGAGTGAGAAACATGACATGTTATTTTCTTATGCTAATGAAAGCTGCCTGCTGATGAGTGCTGTGGGATCAGAAGCCCAGCCTTGCTGGCAGAGGTGCTGCTGGAGCTGACACAAAACCCAAACATAATTGAGTATCCTCAGCCCAAAACAAGGGGACCCATGGAAAACTACTCCAACCCTCCTGATCTGTGCTCTTCTTGACTCTCACCGAGTGAGACTTTTTGGATCTTGGCCAGAGATTTTATTCCAAAGCCTACTGGATCAGTAGGCTGCTCCTATTCTAAACTCAAACTAGATCATGACTTAATCTAGACAAATGTAAAGAAGACAACCATAATTTAAGCAGAGGATGGTAAATTTTACAATTTAAAAAAACCCAACTTCACAAGTTTATTAAAAGATGTCTTTGGAGTACAGGCTTGAACGTCACAAAAGATGAGACTTTTGTAATAAAATAGGAAAAGCTTATCTATTACAAAGATAATTTGAAAAAAAAAAAAATTAGCCAGCGAGGTGCATGAAGGCTCCTAAGCTCAGAAAAAGGCCATGACCAATTTCAATATCCTCTGTATTAAAGTTCAGTACAACAGCTCTGCAACCAATTCATTATTTCAGGGGTGGGTAAGGATGAAAAACTCCTTTAGGATTCAGTCCATAGTGTAAAGGTAGGATGGACTGACAGTGACTAAAAGCATGTATTTTCCACAGATACTTTAGATTTTCTCTTCTCCTTACCTAACCGCTCTGCTCCTTTTTAAGCAATTCAGCTCTAAGCCCTCGGTGCATTCTCTGAGCAGCTTTGACATCTTTCAAACTCTGAGATGGTAGGAAGAGCCGTCTGCCCTTATGTATATGCTATTTGCAACAGCCTGCTTTACAGATGCAAATTATTAAGATAATGCTGAGAAATTTAATAAAACACTGGTTGATGATCTTCTGTTTGATGTCCTACAGAACTCCTGGGGGATTCAATTAGAAATAGGTAAATGCATTCAAAGACAGAGTCTGGTTCCCCTGTCAAATACCTTCATGCTTGTACCCTCGATATTTCAGGCGGGTTCTAAAAGTCAAAAGATTAATTTTCTATTCTAATTACTTGTTGGATGTAACAGACAAGCATTTTCCAAGTATTTATTAATCTGTGTGGCTTTGATCTAATACCCAAGAGCCATTTTATCTATGCTGTAATTTATTAACATACATAAATATACACTGATCTTCCATGTAGTTCACAATATTGCATCTAAACACAGAAGGCATTTTGAATGAGAAAACTTCTCATTTCTCATTCATACTACAAAAGCAGCCATCACTCCCCCCTTTTATCTGCACCAAAACATTGGTTTTTTTAAATTTTTTTAATCTATTTCATCAACACACAAAAAGTCATATTTTATAAAAATCATTATACCAGACTTCCACATTGTTTAAACAAGCAGCAGCATTTCATCAAGGACAGAGCTGCTTTTTAGAATTAGCATAATTTAAATATCCAAATCTGTGCCATTTTAGGTTTTTTGAGCCAATTAACATTAACAAAACAGTAGCAAGAGCAATAAAGAGAAAGTAACAAACTCACAAGCATCAGGCCTGTATTAATACCTTATGCTATACACACTTCCAAGTTTCAAGCCCTGTGAAGAATAATTGCCTTTGAATGCCCATTTCTCTGTTCTTTATCTTGTATCAGAATGCAGCAAACATCCTGTCAAGCTTACAAGTTAATTTCTTGCCAAGTGAATGCATTTTGCAAATTCAAACATGTTAATGGGACTTCTTTTTAACTTAAGTTGCATATATTTTGAGGCTTTGTGCCAAGTTTTTTATATTCAACAATTTGGGCCTTTTCCAGCAATTTTCATTGATGATGCCTCTCTCTGTGAGAAGTCATCAATCCAGAACCAGAATAAAATTATCACTGAAAAAGAGTAAAAAACAGTGTTCTCACTGGAGTGGAGCTGGGTGACACAGTCAAGCAGATCTTGCCTTTGCTCCTTCAACAACTGAACACTCAACAAATTCAACCCACAAGTGGGAATCCTGTCCTGAATTTCAATTTTGTTAAGATATTTGCAGTTAAGGCAGGAAAGCAAGGATTTATCCTAGAAATCCAACAGGAACCATCAAGGAAGGTCTCACCAGCAAGCAGAGAATGAGGGCTGAGAGGAAACAGCAAGTACATGCTCCAAGCAGAGAAGGAGGAATTTCCCCTCTTAACAGCAAAGAAGGGACAGTTCTGTTTCACCACCAAACTCCCCATCAATTTAATACCCTGGCTTTATTAATAAAAGTAGGGAATTAACTTTGAATGGATACAGATTAAGGCAAATACCAAGAATTAGAATGAAACTCTTGTTGGCGAATATGTAATGAAGGATGCACAATTCCTTTAAACACGAGTAAGAAATACACCACATATTGTTTATACCAAACACAGTTGGGGACGTGAGCCTTTTGCCTGGGAAAACCATCTTCAAAGTAGCAACTGTTTTCCCAGCTGTGAATACTCTTTCCTGGGAAATCTATTCGTACCATTACAAAAATAATTTTCAAAGGAATGAAAAATTATTCAGCCTAATCCATGCATATCCATATTTTAGACACAATTCTGTACCTTCTTAGACACGTCTGTTTACAAAAGGCCTACTAGTCTCTATAAACACTACATGGGTGTCATAATTAAATTTACCCCCTTTTTTAAATAAATAAATGTATGGTTAATTTAATAAAATAATCTGCAGCGACTCTATCAATATTCTGATGAAGAAGTGTTAGCAGGAAACAAATGTTTCAGTCCCATAACCAGCTGCCCTCAAAGTTTGTTGTTTTGTGGTTGGTTGGTTTTTTTTAAATTTTCCTAAGTTGAGAAATATTGCATAGATAAGAAAGCAGATAAACCAAGCAAGATGTCACACAGTAAGCCATAACTGCCACATGGACTTAGAACTTTGTAATTATTTCCTATAACTATCAGAGTATTATTTAGAGCTTTGTAATTATTAATTATTTAGAGCTTTGTAATTATTTCCTGTAACTATCAGAAGGCCACCAGACAGAGAGGCACTGAGAGCCAGTGGGCCAGCAAATTTGTCTCTTTGTGCAAGTAAAAAAACCCCAAACAAATAACCCAAAAATAAACATAAAATTGAAAGGTAGCCCACAGCAAAGAGAAATAGGCACAACATTTTAATTATAGACTGACAAAACCCAGCACAACAATATCCATCCTGACATTTAACTTGGCCATTTTGAGAAACAGCTCCCATTCCCCCTTTATCTCTGGGAAACTGCTTTCTGCTGATGTATCTTTCCATCAAGGCACAGGGGGAGATGGATGGATGGGGGAAGATGAAAGATTATGTCATCTTCTCTTCATAATATGAACAAAACTCTATTTGCATATTAAAGATACTTTAAAATTGATCCAAAAAACCCAGTATGAGACGAGGTTCTTATTTTAGGACCTTATACTAAATATAATTAACTTTTTGAGATTTATTTCCTTTTCTTTTAATATTTAAGATTTTTACATATTCCCTCAACAAAAATCAATAACCTCAGATAACGCTAATGCTTACACCAGAGTATTAAGCAAAACCAAACAAGCACAGGAAGAGTGGACAGTGGAACTGCAATGTAAACAGTTTCCAAAATATACTTTTAATGTATGTAAAATACGGTTAATATTGGTAGCCTGGTAATCAGAAGAAAACTCTGCAACATCACACTAAGTTGTTAACTTCATGGCATTTTTTTAGGATGGGAAAATATAAACCAAGTTATTTTGATGGTTGCAAGATAAGCTTCCCATTAATTAGAAAAATAAATTAAGGGAACAATAAAGGATTACTGAGTTTGTTTGCAAATCATCCACAACTCATTATTTCAAGAGCAGGAGATGAATTAGTGGGTTGTCAAACAAATAAATACAGTCTCTGATGATAGCTTTACAGTACCTGCTGGATCACTTTGCACCAATGTCTGGTTTGCATTCATTAAACATTCAAATTACTACCCCAGCTACCTGATTACAAGCAGCATTAGAGATCATATCAAAGTAGCATTCCCAGTTATTCCACCGAGCTCATGCCCAAAACGTTTATCTCCACAGCTTAAACATAATTTTAATGGGGTTTTCCATTGCTGAACAGTAATTTTAAAGAATTTTTTTTTTTTTTTGTGGTTTGCTTTGCAGCTTAAGGATTCTATATTGCTCTTTATGATAACCTCCAAACAGCCAAACAGAAAAACCCTTTCTTCACAAATTTTGCCTTTTTCCATTTAGTAAACAGATCTTACTGTTTGGGCACCTGCACACTTTGATGAAAGAAACACTATGAGCTACTTGTTTATTTGCTATTGTTTGCAGTATCTGTATGGAATCTCAGAAATTAAATTCCTTTCCCACTGATTCTGCCTTTATCTGAGGAAAATGTTGATTCCTCCTCCTCCAACCACTTGCAGTGCTGGAGATAACAAGGAAGTACAAGGAAACACCCACTGGCTGTATGAGCATTACCTAAAGTACCCTTCAACCATGAACAGGGGATTTGATTTATAAAGATTGATCTTCCCTTAGTCATTGCAATTTTCCTTGAAGTTACAACGCTCACTAGACTAAATTGGGAAGGAACAGGAAATTAACATTGTTTTCTATGGATTATGAATTTTGAATTTTGCCTAATAGATGTTCTGTTCTGAAAGAATTTCCTACTGCTCTGCAGAAAGCCAGCGGCTCTGCAAGCAGCGCTGCAGCACCGAGATCTGCCCATAAATGACAAGATCCTTTGCCACAGTAAGCAGAACTCAAACAGCCCTGGGAAACAAAGAACCACAGGTTGTTCCTTACCTACAGCTGACCTGGCAGCACTGCTGTTCCAGTAAGCTTTGAGGCAGCTCAAAGTTTGAAAGCTGGAGAAATCCACAATCAGAAGCAAAACAGGAATAATTGCAAATAAATACTCCGATGGGTTCTGTTATTTCAGGATGACAGGTTAACAATACTGATTTTTTTTTTTTAAGAGAACTGAAACAAAACTAGCTTGTCAGAAAAGATTCACCAGGCAGTTGTTACCTAAGAAGCCAATAGTCAGCTTCAAACCACCAGTCTAGATGACACATTTTAAATCTCTTTTCTTCATACCCATGTTACAGTTTGTAGGGAAAAACTTAAAACGTTCTGATAGTTCAACATATAACTATGTTAGCAAACTATAAAAGTCATTATAAAAAAGTAAAACTAATGCCTAGTGATTTAAAAAAATCTGTTTAATATATGTGATTATTTCAAGTGGGTAAATAGAACAGCAACATTAGGAGAATCAGTCAGAAAAACATTAAAGGCTGAATTAAGTTTTTAAACTTATTTAAACTTTAAAACTCAGCTCCACTAGAGATGTCTTATTTAGAGCTGTGTGGTTCTAAGATCACTCACAAAAACATTCATATTGGTCTTGAATTGCTTATTACTATTTAGTGTAAACAGAAGAAATTGAGTAGATGAAAATCAATAAAACATCAAGATTACACTGAAAGGTCAAGCTGTTCCAAGGAAAAATGCCTTAGTCCAAGGCTGGCAAGAATTTTTGAAATCAATTTCTTGAAGTAACAATCGGTGTACATTAAATCCAGTCCCTGAAAACACACCTCAACCTGCCTCTAGCTCTATAACAAAATCAATTAGACATTTGTATTTTCCACTTTGGAGATTAAATTTGCTGTACTAGAATTGAAAAAAAAAAAAATTAAAAGTAAATCATAGGAATATGACTTAATGAACCAGCGAAATCTCTGTTCCACCAAAAACTCTTTCTACCACACAGGAGACTCCTTAGGAAAAACTGGAGCCCACCCATCCTTACTTTAAGAATGCCAGGAAAAATTTCTTTTAATTCAGTTACTGCACTAAAAGCCAATAACAGCTCATCAGAATCCAGGCACCATGATTCATTAATTGCTGTAGATCCAGCAAAATTCCAGCTTATTTTAAAGTAACAGAAATCAAATTCATAAAGTGAAGGTGCAGAAAAAACCTTCACAGCAGTTGCCTAACTTTTGTTCCAAATTTCTTATGTGGAAATTTCTTACTGTGCTCTGACTGAGCATAGCCTCAGAGTTCCTCCTGATCTTCCTGTTCCCACAGAGCAGTTTTACCTTTTCTCTGTTACACTTTCCATGCTGACAAGATCTGATGACCAAAAGCACTTTAAGGCATAAATGCCAGTGTGCCTGAACAAAGCATTTCACACAAAACTGAGAGTACTTACACTGAGTAACAACCAAACTGCCAAGCAATTCACTTTCTTTAACCACTTCTGAAGTGAAATTGTTTAAGATCTGCCTCATGTTTTTTCATTCTTAACAGTTATTTCAAAAATAAATTTTAAAAAAATTATCCTATTAACTTAGACTTTCCTCTATCAACAGTTACAGTTTATAAAGCTGATGCCAAGGAATGGCTTGTCATAGACCTTTTATGGCATTCCCTAAAACTCACTATATACATGTTCAAGCCACCCACTGGCATCAACTTTTATGATTCCAAGAACTGTTGTGCTTAGTGGTGTTCCCTAACAGCATTAAGGATTCTTCTGTTACTCTTTGCTCTTTCTTTCCCAGTCCTACAGTCTGCACAGCCCTCAAAACCCCTCTGGGTGTTCTAGGAACTGAACACTGGACATCTGATGGTCCAAAAAGGCCCCACTAGTCAGGAGCTTGAAGCCCACCTCGACTGTTTGGCAGTTTTACATTAAATTATAGACATTGAATTTATCACAGACAATAAAATTCTCATTTTGACATTTCAATTTCACCCTCTTTTGTCCTGGAAAATTATTTTCACTCAAATTTAATTATAGCACAGCAAATCCACAATCTATAATAGAAAGGAAAAGAGAAATATTCCCTCTTATGAAGCTATAAGGACAAAATTTCCTAATTTTGCTTTGACAAAGATGTCTTTTCTTACTTAGGAACATTTCTGCTGAGCTCAAAACTGCAAAATTGTACAAACTTCTGAATAGCTTCTCCCAATAGGCTGGCTTTTTTATATTAAGCTTTCCAAACTCTAAATGCAATACCTAGAGACACTGATGAATGCACAAGTTCTTCAAGTATGTTCTTGCCAATGAGCTGAAATAAAGTCTAATAGCAAAATAAGTACTAATTTTTAGTTGTATGAGCTCCATTGAACTACACATGTCATGATAAAGTAAGTAACAAGCAGCTCTCACATCTATTTTATGTTAGGCCAGGAAACATAAGACTATGGCTTCTTGGGGTGATCCTCAAGAATTTCTGAGGGAAAAAACATGCTTTCCTTCTCTACTTCTTGAATTGCTTTACAGTTCTTTGATCCTCATTTCACAATAACCACTAAAGATATCAGAACTGAATTGTCCTTAAATTAGGCATAATTTCCACCACCAAAAAAAAAAAATCTTCCAAGTTCCTACTTAAGTAATACATTGAGATTGCTAATTTTATTCTCATAAAATAATTCATAAAACATTCAGGAATACAAAGAGACTGCTGACACCTTCTGGCCACTTGACATTCTGTCCAAAAACCAGGAGAATTTGCAAGAAAACATCTTTCATGTTTTCCCAGGCACTCAGGATCACATGAAGACTGAAGCTCCACTGAGATTGCCATATGACAGCTCCTCACTTGGTTCACCTCTCACCCACATGCATTCTCTGTTTTTCAGAAACACCTAAAACAAACAGAGGTCACGTCTCTGCCTGCTACAAATGCACCCAGAACTGGCTCAATTTATCTTTTCCTTTTAGCTTTCACTCTAGGTGTATATATACTGCATCCAAGGAATCACTGCAACTGAATCCAACTCGTGTTCAGAACAGAATCTACAGCAACAACAAATCCATTTTGTATTAAATTAAAGAGCCAAACCTGCAGCTTTTGCTTCTTCTTCTTCGGTTTTGTTTCCAATTCCAGCTCATCCTTTTGGGCCACATGTTTCTTCATCTTTTTTCTTTTTTCTGCCTTCTTTTCTTTTTTTTCCACAATCATTTTCGGCATTCTAAAATGCTATTCTGTAACAGAAACCACCAAACTGCAGTTAGAACCTTTTTTTAGTATTAAATATCAGTCTCATATACAGACAGCTATACTACAACTGCACTGGTACGGTAATGATTTGTGACTACCTCACTATGAAATGTATGTCTGCACTGAAACTTGATTCATTTTGGAGAATTTTTGCATGTCCTTTAGGAATGCATTGTAGTAAAGGTACTGTAAAACTCAAATGCCAATCCCCTGTAGGAATGCCCACACCTTTTGTCCTCTGAGGCCCTGTTGTGGAAAATTACTCAGTGCTATTCCTGGTAGGAATTCCCCATAACTTAGGCTGTGCTTTCTGCAGGTTAGAACACACCACACTGAACTGTTTGATCAACTGTCTACCTCAGATAACACCATCATCTCAAAATACATTCCCATGACCATCAGTCATCTCATTGATATGCACATGTGTGCACTCACAAGCAAAAAGGAAGGCTATTTGATTACTAAACAATTATATACCACTAGTTCTGGTTAAACTGCAAGCTTTTCTGTTTTCATATAGGTTAATGGAATAAAACTATGCTTGAAGAATTCTCTCACTAGCTTTATCTCTAATTTTAGGGTGAAAATGAACAGGAGTTGCAGACAACACTGCACCTGGTTCTGAAAACAGGTCTAGTTGTAACTCCGTACAGTTTCTCTGCCAGAACACCTGATTTAAGTGGCTTTACCCAGCTGCCCCAACACTGTCACTTTCCGTGTCAGCTTCACTGCACAGGCAAACTTCAGCTCAATCACAAATATTTACCTTGAAACACACACTGAAATAGAAAACAACACACCAGCCCACATCAGGAGGTTCCCAATAGAGCAGGAGCTGCCAAAGGAGGGATTTGGCACCATGGTGACAGCGTAGCCAGGCCTGGCACATGTGTGGCACAGCCGTGCCCTGCCCAGGAGGGCACCCAGCCCACGGCCAGCCCCTGCTCAGGACCCCGGATTTAATATAAAAAAGCTTCCCAACCTGGATTCGCTTCCCAACACACACCCGGGTTCACATCCCAGCACACACAGCCCATGTTCACATCCCAGCACACACACACACGTGTTCACATCCCAGCACACACAGCCCATGTTCACATCCCAGCACACACAGCCCGTGTTCACACCCCAGCACACACAGCCCATGTTCACATCCCAGCACACACAGCCCGTGTTCACATCCCGGCACACACAGCCCGTGTTAACATCCCGGCACACACACACGTGTTCACATCCC